CTCTTTTCCGCGACGTTGATTGGTACTCTCGTTACGCTAACTTCGTGAGCGGCTGTCATTACATTGACTTTTGATAGTTGTATACTTGTATGTATTGAGATTGATGTATAATTATAGTCAATTATAGTAAAAGTGCAATTAAATAGCGCGCGCGAAGCGCGCGTCTGTAGTGCTAGTCTTATTATAATCGCAATGTTATTTTTTATTGCCACGCTCAAAGTAAACCGTAATGTCTGATAATAAATTTTTTTTTCGAAATTTTGAGAAAAAATCGCCTCCAAATTTTCCAAAGTTTCTATTATTAAAATCAAAATTGTAACGTTTCCACGAAATGTAAACTGTTTATGTTAAATTGATCATTAATGTAGGCTTTACTTTTTATGTAATAATTACAAGTATTGAGCGTAACGTCATCATAGATACTATCGCAGAAGGTCACTCGCGCTTTAGTTGACGATTATACGTATAATTGTGTGTGTAAAAGTGTACATATAGAAGTCTACGAAAGTGATAGTAACAGGAAAATTCACAGTAGCTTTAAATCTATATAAAGATCTGTACAAGTGTGTCTATTATTGCCAACAAATAGACATAAATTGGCAAACAGAAAGGTAAAACAAAGGAAAGCATTCGAATACAGACATTCAGTCTTTTACAATGGTATAGCATGCAAAAGTCGGTCGGCTGCACATTTGCAAAGATAAAGCAATACATCGTACGATTACTGTTGAAATGATATGTATAGCGATACTTTCTTACCTAACGACGCAAAAGAGGATACATTCATTTAAACTTTAACTACTTTTTTAACCGTTTCTTTAATTTACAATCTATATTTTTAACTATTTACAAAAGATATCTACATGAAATATCACTCAATCATTTTTTAGTATTTTTCTAATATTTCAAAAAGGTAAATAGTTTTTATTGATTACAAATATTCATTTTACTTTATACTAGCACTACAGACGCGCGTTATTTAATTGCACTTTTATACTTTTTACTATAATTGACTATATACATCAACCTCAATACATACAAGTATACAACTGTCAAAAGTCAATGTAATGACAGCCGCTCACGAAGTTAGCGCAGCGAAAGAACCAAATATTTCATACGTGTCCCTTTGTGTGTTACACACAGAATTGTCCGATTTACTCATATTACATTTTCAAACATTTTGTTAAAAATGGAAATTAATATTAACATATATATGCATTTAGTCTTGTATTATGTTGGATGATTTATAATTGCGTAATGCAACTGAAGAATTAAGAAAATTTAATATTGAACAACTTTAAATAAATATTTTAAATAAACTATTCAAATATTGAACCGTTAAAAAAAAATACTTTATGAAGTACGAAACATCTTTACTGTATGTCTTATTAAGAAAGCAATTATAACGACATTTTAAGAAACGAAATATGCGAACGCTTTTATCTGTAATTGATGAAAATTAAAGTACGGAGAATTTTTAAGATAAAGCATGATAAAAAATCAATTTCATATTTTTCTGATAAATTCTTGAAGAAGAACTGAAAAGGGAATTACAAGAACTACAGTTTAAAAAAATTTAAATAAGCGTAATAAGATTATGACTGTACGTAGATTTTTTAAAGGGTCAAAGTGAGAATTGGTGACATAATTGCATTGCAATACGTATTAAAATTATTAATACAACTAACAATAAATATGCAGGTGCGATGAGATAACGTAAGAATCAAATAGATTGATGACGTTGTGAGCTAGTCAAAGAAAAATAGTTAATGTTAATTTATTGATAAATTTATGGTAAGCAATAATTAGCATAAACCAAAAAGGAGCGACAAAACTGAAAAGTGCGCATGTGTGTGTCTTTTTCTTTCCAGGCTCACGCATGATATGACTCAGTCTCGTGAGGTTCTGGCAATGATGGACGCACATACAACCACGTTCGGACGCAAAAGAGGCTGCACGATTTCCCGATGTGGCGCCTTCCTCTTGGGCGCATTTTTTCTAATCAGCTTGGTCGTCACCGGTTTGTTGGTGTACCACTTTGCACCTTGCCTCGAGGAGAAGCAAGTTCAGCCATGCAGGGGCACCGATGGCGACTCGCTCTTGCAGAGCGGCAGAAGTTTTTCGATGGTGCCAACAAAAAAGAAATTGGATGTCAGATTACCGAAGGCTGTCGCGCCTGATTTGTACGAATTATGGCTGACACCCTTCATATGGGAGGGCAACTTCACCTTTAACGGCGAGGTACCTTTTAGTTGATTTAATTGTATATTTTATAACAAGTGAGAAGTTTTCTGTTTATGAACGAATTGATAAGCGTATTCTAACAATATTCTTTTTTTTATTCTTTATTTCTCAAGAGAGAAATAATTTTAAACAAAATGCATTAACGGACGCATTAATTACATTTATTGTCTTATCGGATTTAACTTTTTAGAGTTTGCAGAGTAGTATTTAATAATATCTTCTCGTTATAGATTATTTTATTATAACTTATTATTTTATTATTTAAACATTTATTTGGAGATACATTAATTTAATACTTTACATTTATCGATTGATTTTCATATTTAATGTAAAGTGTTAATCATTTCGAAATATTTCCGAAATCTTCTTTTTTTTACCTTATATTTCTCGACTATTTTAAATTATGACAGACAAACCGGTTTGATTGCGTTACAAATGTCTACTTTCTAGTGAGAATCGAAAGCGATCGAAATGTTTTTCTACGTACTTAGTTCGCAATTCTACACGTAAGCTGTTACTGCCGTCAGAGAGACGCGCCTAGCAATTGACGCAACCGTTTACTTTCATATGTGGGGAACAGCTTAGGCAAATCACGTGCGTCCCGATCTCAACTCCTTGTCAAGTTTCGTTTACGTTCTTTTACATTCTTGCTAGCTGTTTGTTCTGCCTCGCGACGATTTTTCGAATTGCGATCGAGGGGGAACATTTAAATGCGTACCTCGTAGAGACTAAAGAGAATTCTACGGTCATGGTTGAGTAAAAAGAATTTTACATTTTTAGCGGGATTCTATATATAATTCTAAAGTATCTTTGGATACTGTAAGATAATTAAAACATATGTAAGATAATTGGCAATTTCATAATTAAAAAGGCAGTATTCAAATTTTGCGGCACTTGAAAATAGAATATAATATTAATTGTCTTAAAGGCCTTATAAAAATAGAAATATCATTGGTTTAGGTCAAAATTTTGATAAATGTAACAAAGGATACGGATAATGTTACGTTGCACGCCGTCGACATGAAGATCGATGAGGGCTTTACTAGTATCAGGGAATACTCGGCTAAGAGCAACAAGACCAAGATAATCGGGATCGCGGAGCAGAGAAACGACACCGAGAGGCAATTTCACGTGATTAGAACATCGAACACGTTGAGGAGAGGCAAGCAATACGTCGTGCATCTCAAGTTCATTGGCCATCTGAACGACTACCTGCAGGGTTTCTACAGGAGCTCGTATACGGTCGGCAATCAGACGAGGTAAACGATGTCGCAATGAAACTTTAGTGATCGCGGTGCAAATTGAGATTTGTTTCTTCGTGCTTTAATTAAATGTACCATTTAATTTAAGAGCACTCTAATAGAAAGCTGTTTCATTTATTACTAAATTTATTAATCTAAAATCTGAAACTTGAAACTTCAACTTACAAAATAGAATTCGATAAATTAGATAAAGAAAGTACATAGTAATATTATATCGTCGATAAATATAAATGTCGGAGGACAAATTTTAGTTTATTTTTTTCAAGAGAAAGAGAGAAAGAAAACGTGTACAATTATAATTTTACTGAATTCATTGATTTCCTATATATTGTCCTATATTGTCTCATACTTGGTTGCCTATTATTGCAAGGCGTTTTGATTAGACGGTAGAGCGAGTGATTATCCTTTGTATAGTCTTGTTGCGGTAGCTTGTTTGGCTTACGTACAGACTCAAACAAGAACTCCTGTCGACTGTTTGCCAAAGGTATCTGGGTTCTGCATTATAGATGGATTGCTACGACTCAGTTTCAACCGACAGACGCGCGCCGTGCTTTCCCATGTTTCGACGAACCGGCTTTGAAAGCCAAGTTCCAGATCAACATAGCGCGTCCCAGGAACATGACATCTATTTCGAATATGCCCAGAAAAGGGGCACCGATGCCAGTGTGAGTAATTGTATGCCATATAACTTTTGCGTTGGCGTCGTTGCGTTATTTCATAAAACTGATATATGATGTATATCACAATTTGGCATTGACAAATTCAAAAATTAACAACATCGTATTTACTGTAAAAAAAACAAAGATGATAAAAATAATTTATAACATATTTATAATATGTTTTAATATATTTATAACATTACTCTTTCTAAAAATCTTGGTTTTAGGCTTAAATTATTGTATCAAGATAGACCGAGGAATATTACAAACAATTAAGAAAGGAAAATGCCAACACGATCAAAGCGGATCTTGCTGCGCGATTCATTTGAACCGAAAGTTGTAAGATCCACACGTTAGAATATTATCGAGCATCAAGATTCGCTTTGACCATGTTGGCATTTTCCTTTCTGAATTAAATTATTGTATTCAAATGAGTATTGCATAATTGTAAGAGGTATATTCCTTTTTATTGTTTGATAAACAGGCCCGGTTTAGACACGTACCTGTGGGATCATTATGAGCGCTCGGTGCCGATGTCTACGTACTTGGTGGCCTTCATAGTTTCCGACTTTGATGTACAGAAATCGGAAGATGGTAACTTTAGAGTTTGGGCGCGCCACGATGCCATTAATCAATCACAATATAGCTTGGACATTGGACCGAAAGTACTCAAATTCTATGAGGACTACTTCAAGATCAAGTTTCCTTTGCCGAAAATGGATATGGTCGCGTTACCTGACTTCTCCGCCGGTGCTATGGAAAATTGGGGATTAATTACATATAGGTATATTAAGCATATTATACGCATTGAGGATTAATAATTATATTTGCTTTATTACTGTACTGAATACGAGAGTATCGATCCCATTTTGCAATATCATAAATAATTCGGAACAAATCTCGAATCACGTTGCGATGTCTAGAAAATTATCCTCATATTTCACTTTACAGTTATTCATCTGCATAAATTATTGTATATATATATATATATATATACACATAATTATTTATGTATCATTAGATAGAGAGATATAAAGGTAATTCCAATAATTATTTTATTAAACACACTTAAATATGCCTACAATTTATTTAATGACATTTAATGAAAATATATGACTGATAAGGGCAAACAGTGCCACCATTTTTTTCTGATAAATTGATATTTTTCGAATCGATAAGAAGTATACGATATACAATTTGGATCGTGTGTAAATAGTACTTGAAATATCAAAGATATAGTTTATAAAATTCTTTGAATGAGTTTATTGCTAGTATTGTTGTAAGTTATAAGTTACATTAACAGATATATGCGAAATATATGTGCTAATAATTGTGCGAGATAAGGAAATAATTAATTTGCCATCATATCAATTTAGGGAGACAGCGATGCTGTATCAAGAGGGCATATCGACCAGCGGTAGCAAGCAGCGGGTAGCCGTTGTGGTGTCTCACGAACTCGCGCATCAGTGGTTTGGAAACTTAGTGACTCCAAGTTGGTGGACGGATCTTTGGTTGAACGAGGGTTTCGCCAGTTATATGGAATACATCGGCATGGATGCGGTAAGCCGTCTAATTGATACGCGATTACATATCGCACGCAACGTCAAAATTATTATCGCAACATTGCGTGGGTACACAGCTGATTTAAGAAATTTTGATTTTGAAAATGTTAAATATGTGTCTTGAACACGCTTAAATATGTTTTCACGTATTAATGTAAACTTATTATATTCATGAAACACGCAGGTGGAACCGACGTGGAAAGCGTTGGAACAATTTGTTGTTCACGATCTTCAAAATGTATTCGGTTTGGACGCTTTGGAATCTTCCCACCCCATATCCATTGAGGTCGGTCACCCAGATGAAATCAGCGAAATCTTTGACAAGATTTCTTATGGAAAAGGTACTCGACAATTTACGCGAATTACGATAATACTAAAACAAAGTTAATGTAATTTTATCTATATTGAAATTACTCAGGTGCTTCCATAATAAGAATGATGGATCATTTCCTCACAACTGAAGTTTTCAAGAAGGGTCTAACTAATTATTTGAATGGAAAGTGAGTAAAGTCAGTAAAGGTTAATTAATGTCCTAAACTTTTGCTCTCTTATTTATATGTAAAGTGAATCAATAATGTAATTAACATTTTTACGTATATATAGTTACGTATAAATGTTAATAAAACAAATTTTTATATAATGCAAAGATAAGTAACGGTATTTCTATATTTTTAACAGAGCTTATCAAAGCGCCGAGCAAAATTATTTGTGGTCTGCTTTGACTTCACAAGCTCACGAAGACAAAGTACTTGAACCAAGCGTAAGCGTTAAAGAAATAATGGATACATGGACCCTGCAAACCGGCTTTCCTGTAATTACTGTCACACGTAATTACAATAACAATAGTGCTTCGCTGACACAGGTATGCCAATAATTACAAATTAAATAATAATCGAATATAAAGTGTGGTTTATTATAAATGAAGATTTATAATAAATAAACGCCAGCATGTTCGTAAAGTTATCTTCCACTTTGTTTTCTATTACACACAGATATTGTTTTCTTACAAAAGAAGATTATAAAGTACATTATATTACAGCGGATATTATTTGATTAAAAAGTTATTTGTGCTTTAAGCGATTTATAATCGGATTACACGTATCATCTATCTATTTCTCGCAGGAACGTTTTCTGCTTCGTAATAGCGGCACGACGATCACGACTGAGTCTAAGGAACCATTATGGTGGGTACCTATCACTTATACGAGCGAGAAGCAATTAAACTTCAATAACACTCAACCCGCGAAATGGATGAAAGCGGAACGCTCAATCATTCTTAACGATTTGGATGTAAGCTCGTCTCAGTGGATACTTTTCAACATCGAAGAAACTGGTAATTATATCCTCATGATATATTCACGATAACAAAATTATATTTTTTTGTCTTAAAATAAAATATTTTTATACACGGAATTTATTATTTATCTCTAATTTTTTCTGAAGAAAATTAATTGTTCAATAATTTTAATCAATTCTACTAATACCACTGTAAAACTTTTTAAATCTGTTAGAAGATAAATTTTCCAGACTAACAGAAGTTTTCGCTTAATTTGAAAAGAAATTGTAAACTGAAATACATAAGGAGAGTGGTTGACTTTTAAATAGATACTCCCGATGAAATATTTTAGAAGATAGATTTGTTATTTGTTAAGTATTATAAAAATATAAATGTGACTAAATATAATTAAATAATGTATATTGTGCTTATATGACAGGATACTATAGAGTGAATTATGACAGAGCAAACTGGCAGATGATAATTAAACAATTGAATAAACAGAATTTCAAAGTTATTTCGACAATTAACCGAGCGCAGTTGATCGATGACGCTCTCAACTTGGCTAGAGCTGGCAAGCTCGACTACACTATCGCTTTCGACGTTACATCTTACTTGGCTCACGAAATCGAGTACTTGCCTTGGAAAGCAGCTTTCAATGCTATGGATTATCTCAACGATATGTTAATCAAGACACAAGGTTACGACAAATTCAGGGTATGTACTTGTGAAATTAGAATGCCAGTTGATGCTTGTAAAGAGGAAATATCAATAATTAATTATATATTCCATGAAACGTAAATAATACTTTATTATTCTAATTTTTAATTCTTTTTTAGTTATACATATTAAAATTGCTCGACAATGTATATAAGCAAGTCGGCTTCATTGACCAAGCGGGAGATCCCCAACTGACAGTCTTCACTCGAATTGACGTTCTGAATTGGGCGTGCGATTTCGACCATGAGGATTGCGTTATGAACGCTGTGCAACAATTCAAAAATTGGCGCAACACTCCGAATCCGGACGTTAACAATCCGTAAATATCATACTATATTATGTTATCTTAAAAGTTATTCATTGATACACTGATGTTGCATTCTTTGATGCATGAGACGATCGCAATGATCAAGTTGCGTATTAAAGCGCATTAATCAATGTGTTCAAAATTCTTCGTTACCTTAATTTAGAGTAGTTTATAAAATTATTTATTTATATTTTTAATTAGTAAAAATCTTGCATTCTAGAATTTCGCCAAATTTGAAGAGCGTAGTCTATTGCACGGCCATTCGAGTGGGTGGACAGAGCGAATGGGAATTCGCGTGGCAGCGATACCGAGGAACCAACGTAGGATCGGAGAAGGATCTGCTTCTGCAGGCATTAGCCTGCACAAGAGAGATATGGCTGTTGAATCGATTCTTAGATTGGGCCGTGACGGAAAATTCGGGAATCAGAAAGCAGGATGCTACCCGAGTCTTCGGATCTGTCGCCAACAACATTGTCGGGCAGCCACTCACATTTGATTACTTCAGAAACAGATGGGCCCACCTCAGGGAATAGTAAGCTGTCAATCCTTTATTTTTATATTCGTATTCGTTTCCTTAGAAATAGGAAACATTAATTAGAAACGTAAATTTTTTAAATTTTGCGTTAATCCTTTTATCTTGCCAAGAAAAATCGAAGATTTTTATTATAATGATTTTCATTGCTATGAAATTTTGTCTGGAATAGAATTGTATTTTACTTGTAAAAGTTGTGATATAACATAGCACTTTTATCATTTCCAGTTTTGGAACGTCGCTGTCAACTGTCAATAACATCGTAAAGTCAGCCACAAGAGGAATAAGTACGAGATATGAATTAAAAGACGTAAGTTGAAAGGTGATAGTATGGATATATTTTGGAAGTGACCTAAAACACAAAGTTGAAAATGATTTAAGTAAAAAAAAAAAAAAACAATTGGAACGCAAATGTTAACATAACTTTTTCGATAAATTGATGGACACGTGTAATTAATTCTCACAAGATTCACGTTGCTCTTTCGTAGAAAAAAAAAAAAAAAAAACAAAATTCTGCAGTATATCCACTTATTGTACGTTATTTTTTAGTTGGTAGAGTTTGCAAAAGAACACCTGGATGAACTTGGTACCGCAACGCGAACCATACAGCAAGCGATAGAGCGAGCGGAATCCAACATACGATGGATCGACAACAATCACGTGACAATTCGCGATTGGTTGCAGAGGAACACCGCGTAATCATCCGATAGAAATTTATTCGGTTCTCCCTCACGGCGTCGAATCATCGTGAATGCAACATACATGAGTATTGATTTTTCATTGAATTTGTCGTATAGCGTCAAAATGGCGCGCGAAAATTGGTCTGTATACGGTAAACTGTAAATGAGACACGAGAAAATTGCAAAATAGTTTACCGTTGAATCGTACGAGAGTATTATGTGTTTTTGTATGTATTTGTAAATATACGGCCAGCATCATTGCGATATTTATAATGCAGAGCGCGAAATGACGCTCACAGTGTTTCGTGTTCATATTCCTGATTACGCCGCTAGATTACAGGAGTATATTTTAAATACGGGAAAAGTGATAATGTATTAACTCTTTTACGATAGATTTCGGATTACAGTTGCTGCGCCTATTACTCTAAGTCTGAAGAACTTTATAACCGTGAATTCATCGTGGATACCAAAGGATTAAAAAAGAGGATTCGTGTTCGAAGTAACAATGAATATTGTGAGAGATAGCGGACTTGTCGCGAAATTCTCAGTTCTAAAGTTGTATGTTTCCTAGACTTTGAACAAACATTGCTGGAAATCAGTTTATAATTATGCGATAAATAGATGATTGTCTATTAGAAAATAATTAATAATTGATACAAATACTTATCTATAATTAATAGGGGTCGCGTTTTTAGCAACCGTTATGAAACATTGAATATAATATATGTTGAAAATAACTATAGATATTTTTAATCGCTCATCAATAAAGACAATAAAGATATTTATATGTATTATGTCACAAATATACGTATGTTAAAAGATTTTGCTTAAAAATTAAATATTGTCTACAGTATGAGTCAATGCTTCACATGTTCTATAGAATATCAAAGAATCCTCTATTCTTAATACATGAATATCCGCTACATAATCAATTGCTAACAGTTTTGCGATGAGAGTTCATTATTCATTAAAGATTTGCAGTGCGGCTATTATGCGATTGTATTTTATAACAGAAAATACTATCACCTGGAAAATACTGCTTTATTTTGAAAATATTGATATACATCGTATAGATATAATAAAATTGTATTGATTTTTTTTATAAACTTTGTTGTGTTTCTATTTCATTTTTTATTGATAGACGAACCAGAAGATACGTTTTTTATTATTAAACTAGCACAAGAGACGCGCGCTTCGCGTAATTGACTATAATTATACATCAACATCAATACATACAACGGTCAAAAGTCAATGCAATGACAGCCGCTCACAAAGTTAGTGCAGCGAGAGAATCAATCAGCGTCGCGAAAAAGAGTCAACAATAAGATGCGATTAAGACGCACTTCGTGGTACACATGCCTTTTTTTATTATGGATGGATGGATAGACGGATGGATGGATGGATGGATGGATTCACTTTGAAACTATTAAGTTATCTCTTCAAGCTAAGTAAGAAGGAAAAATAATCCTTTAATTATAGTTTGTGTAGCTACAATAAAATTCGTATAGCTATTTAGTTTTATTATTATTA